AGAGTGTCTGGGGGACGATCTGCTAAAGCTTGTCCGTAAATATGGGCTTCTAGACAGAGTATGTAGTAACAAATTGACCCTCTAGGGGGCAGTGCCACTTTTGATGGGAGATGAGCATAGACTGTAGGCAAATAAGAAAAAGGGAACGGTTCTATGAGAGAACATGTCGCCGGTGAGACGCAAGTCCAGGAAGAACGGAATAAGGTAGAAACACATTTTTTTTCCTGATGAAAGAAGAGAGTCTACTCTTTCTTTTGGTGTGTTCGGTGTTTACATAGTCATAGCACAAACTATTCTGTGGCTCTTGAAAAATCAGTCAAAATGCTCAAAAAACTCTGGCAGTCAATGAGTTAATAACAAAAAATGACCTTGAAGTCCTCCAGTCGTTCTTTGCTGATTCAGCCTTTTCTTTATGGAGCTCTTTAGCTGGAGGTGAATTAATGTCATAAAAATCCATGTTTTACAGTTCAGTAACCAGCATAACAGACACTTTTTGGTTAAAGTAAAAGAAAGAGAAACTGGTTAATTCAACAAGAAGCAAAAAGTTCATATAGAGATTGGGTACATTTTTGCACTGTTTGGCTTTAACCCTTTAAAGCCTGACCCAAGAATAAAACAAAACAATACAGAAAATTATTATTTTTTTGTTTGAATTCCTTATTTGGCCTTTTAACAAAATATGTAAAAAGAAAAAACATAAATACATTTTTAATATTGACCCTTTAAAGCCTGATTCAAGAATAAGACAAAACAGAAAAAAATGTTTGTTTTTTTTGTTTGAATTCCTTATTTGGCCTTTTAACAAAATATGTAAAAAGAAAAAACAAAAATAAATTTTTAATATTGACCCTTTAAAGTCTGATCCAAGAATAAGACAAAACAGAAAAAAAGTTTTTTTTTTGGTTTGAATTCCTTTATTTGGCCTTTTAACAAAATATGTAAAAAGAAAAAAACAGAAATACATTTTTGATATTAATAATTTATTACTATGCGATAAGTCCAGATTATTTTTTGTGTATCTTCTGCCCCCTGTTATCAGGTGTATCTGATTGTGTACAATAGGATTTTTAGCAAAGTTTTTACCATTAAATTAAGCAAAAGGAGTCAGACGCAAAATATTTCAGAAACCGTATCACATATTATACATTTGGCATTACAGGGTTAAGTGTCTTGAATAGGAATCAAATAAACACAAAAATGTATTTTTATCATATTTTATATTTCTTCTTTCAAATTTCACTTAACATGTCCACTTCAATATACAAAATTTTATACAAAATCTAGTCATAAGGAATTATTACATGATACATGATACATTTGGCATTACAGGGTTAAACTGCGTTTGTGTCCTTATTTGAATTGAATTTGGTTTGAAACATTATTGAATATGTTATTTTCTGCAGCTTTAATAGATTTTAATGTAAATTATGGTGGTCTACGGGTCTTAAGCTGTCAGAATAAGTACTTTGTTCCGGACCGTTGGTTTTTATTTGCTCATGTATGTGCATACCTGGAAATGGCCTCCGAAACAATAACAGGAGCAGTTTTCTGTTCTTATATCGCTGATGGATTTTATTTCTGAAGCTTCACCCTCAGAGAAGAAAGCACCAAACTGTTTCTTTAGGTCAGTGTTTTTCAACCACTGGTCCTCGGTACACTAGTGTGCCGTTAGTGATGGTCAGGTGTAGAAAATCATCCTATTTCACCTCATTGGTCTAAAAAGACTTTTTGATAAGTAATTAATTATCTGCAAATAATATTCCATTTCTGAGTGTGTGTGCTGTTATAGTGACTGGTGGAGTAATCATGTAATAATTCCTTATGACTAGATTTTGTATTTAATTTTGCATATTGAAGTGGACATGTTAAGAGCAATTTGAAAGAAGAAATATAAAATATGATAAAAAAATACATTTTGTGTTTATTTGATTCCTATTCAAGACACTTAAGATAAGATAAGAATAAAATAAGAATAACTATAGTGTTACTATAGGCGGATACAGATTTGTTTAACATTTTTGGTTGGTGGTGTGCCTCGTGATTTTTTCTATGAAAAAATGTACCTTGGCTCAAAAAAGGTTGAAAAACACTGTTTTAGGGGTCCACAGACTCGTCTTTTGGGTTGTTGGTTCCCTCAAAGGTTCTGCTCTGCATTGACTAATGGGAACATTAAAGCTGTTTTTTGGGGCTTTTAAAGCTATTTTTGGCCTTTAAAGCTGTTTTTTAGGGCTTTTAAAGCTGGTTTGGGGCTTTTAAAGCAATTTTTTGGCCTTTAAAGCTGTTTTTTAGGGCTTTTAAAGCTGTTTTTAGGGTCTTAACCCTATAAAGCCAAATGTGTCATATCTGATCCGGTTTCTTTTGGATGTGAGACTTTCTGCATCATTCAGTGGTAAAAGCTTTGCTCAAACCCCTGTTGTACACATTCAAATATACCTGATAACAGCCAGTAGAAGACTACACCAACATAGATTTCTGACTTATTGCACGCTAATTTGATCAAAATAATTTCTGTTTTTTTTCTTCATATGTTGTTGAGGGGCCAAAGAAAGACTTCAGACTAAAAAAATCCAATATTCTTCCTATTTTTCTTGGATCAGGCTTTAAACGGATAAATGTTTTTTAAAAAAAGGGTTTTTTTCTCGTTTTTAAACCCTATAATGCCAGATGTGTCATATTTGATACATAGGGTTTCTGAAGTCTTTTGGATCTGAATACAACAAAATATCTTTTTGACTTATTGCACGCTAATTTGATCAAAATAATTTCTGTTTTTTTTCTTCATATGTTGTTGAGGGGCCAAAGAAAGACTTCAGACTAAAAAAATCCAATATTCTTCCTATTTTTCTTGGATCAGGCTTTAAATGGTTAAAGCTGTTTTTGGGGGGCTTTTAAAGCCATTTATTGGCTTTTAAAGCTATTTTTTTGGCCTTTAAAGCTTTTTTTTAGGGGTTTTAAAGCTATTTTGGGGGCTTTTAAAGCTGTTTTTTGTGCTTTTAAAGCTGTTTTTTGTGCTTTTAAAGCTGTTTTGGGGGTCTTAACCTGAAAATGCCAAATGTATCATATTCAATAAGGTTTCTGAAGGAGAAAGAAGCTCAGTGGACATGAACGCGCTCCTATTTTTGACACTTTATAATAAGACGTTGGAACTCCTGGAGCTGGAGGAAATGACTCGAGTCGAACCAGCTGTGATCCATAAAAACTCTCCTTGTTTCTGGGTTTGGATTTTTTCCGTGTGCAGGAGACCTTTTGGTAGGATGCTGAGCTGCAAACACATAAAGACTTAAACAGGAGAAGTAAACAGTCTGTGAGAAAAGAAGCTTCTGGTTCAGTCTTAGATCTAAAAAGCTCTATCTGGTTTAGTTAACAGGAGTTAAAAAAACAGTTGAAGCTTCATTTCAGCTCCAGGCTCCTAAAATCTGGATCAGACTTCCTGAAGACGTGAGACAGAACCCAACTCTGGATGTTTAAATCCAGATGAAAACATCTGTTTAACTCTGAGGATGGAAACTGGATGGATTTGATGTGCAACCTTCCCTTTTCATCTATTTAATTTTTATAATTTTTAGATAATCAATCAATCAATCAATCAATGTTTATTTATATAGCACTTTACAACAACCGGAGCTGACCAAAGTGCTTCACAGTAAAAAAAACAGATCAAAATATCAAAATATACAAAGACAAATACATTGGTGACAGAACCCAGTTTACACAGATTTTACGTGAAAAACGCCATTCTGAAAATGATAATAATAATAACAATAATAATAATAATAATAATAATAATAATAATTTTGAATAATAATAATGATTTTGAACAATAATAATAATAATAATTTAAATAATTGTTATTAATTCATGTTTTTAATATTATTATATATTTTAATTATTATTATTATTATAATTATTATTATTTATTTATTTTTTCTTCTTATTATTATTTTTATTTTTATTTTTTTTCTTGCTTTTCTGCTTTCAAATTTTCCGTGAAGCACTTTGTCTTGTACCCGGAATGTGCTGTACAGATAAACTTGCCTTTCCTAAACAGAAATGTGATGCTTTTTCTTGCTTTTCTGCTTTCAAATTCTCTGTGAATCCCTTTGAATTGTCTTGTACAGATAAACCTGCCTTTCCTAAACAGAAATGTGATGTTTTTTGTTGAGTCATCATTTTCCCACCTCTGACTCATTTTTCCCCCTCAGATTCCTAATGATAATAATAATAATAACAATTTATAATAATAATTATTATTATTTTAATAATTACTGTTATTAATTGATGTTTTTATTAATTATTATATATCTTTTTTTTTTATATATCTTTATTATATATCTTTATCTTTATAATAATAATAATTTATAATAATAATTATTATTATTTTAATAATTAATGTTATTAATTGATGTTTTTATTAATTATTATATATCTTTATTATTAATATTATTATTATTATTATTATTATTTATTTATTTTTTTAAATTATTATTATCATTATTTATTTATTTGTCTTGTTTTTCTGCTTTCAAATTCTCTGTGAAGCTCTTTGAATTGTCTTATACCCGGAATGTGCTGTACAGATAGTTTTTTTGCTGAGTCATAATTTTCCCACCTCTGACTCTCGTTTTCCCCCCTCAGATTCCCCCCCCAGAGGCCACCAACCGGACCCCTAAACCCAAAGTCCTGGTCACCAGGCGGCCGCACCCGACCCCTCTCCCCACGGAGACCCAGGACAGCCACAACCAGTCGCACCTTCTGGACCAGCGGGACTACTCCACCGAGCTGTCCGTGACCATCGCCGTGGGCGCCTCCCTCCTCTTCCTCAACATCCTGGCATTCGCCGCGCTCTACTACAAGAAAGACAAGCGTCGCCATGACGTCCACCGGCGATGCAGCCCCCAGAGAAACGCCGCCAACGACCTGGCGCACACCCAGGAGGAGGAGATCATGTCCCTGCAAATGAAGCAGCACTCGGATCTGGATCGGGGCGTTGGGGTGGGGGTTGGGGTTGGGGTGGGGGGGCACCACCCGACTCACGACGTGGTTCTCCGGACGGCCTGCCCCCCCGACTACACGTTGGCGATGAGGCGTTCCCCCGACGACGTCCCGCTCATGACCCCCAACACCATCACCATGATCCCCAGCTCCATGGGGGGTTTGGCCTCGCTCCACCCGTTCAACGCCAACTTCCCCGGAAGCGGGCAGAACAACACCCTCCCGCACCCACACCCACACTCGCACTCCACCACCCGGGTATAGCCCAATAAGCCCACTAGCACGGGCCTATCGGGGGGGGGGGCGGGGGGGGATGCCCGCCCTCCGTCGGCCCGGGGTCACTATGGGAACGAACCACTCCCCCGGTACCAACCGGAGGGAATATACCGCCGGTTTTACAAACGGTTTGGGGAAAAAAAAGAGAAATAAATATGTTTTTGTACAAAAATAAAGACAAAAACACACACGGATTTGGAGGGAAAAAACGAACTCTCGGATTGAGGAAACAATGCAAAAAGGATGTTTTGGATTGGATTATCTCGTTCTGGTATTGCTTAAAAAAGAAAAAAAAGGTCAAAGGCTTCTCCTCTCCAGATTCGGCCTTTGGGGATCTTTAAGGTGGAAGCGGAGTGAAGCCTCGGACACGACTTAGGAGGGGCTCACTTTGCAAAAAGAGGGAACAGGCTTTGTTTTCCAGCCACGTTCTTCCTGTTTGGGCTCAGATGGAGATGTAAGATACGGCAAAAACGAGCTCCAGAGCAAAAAGGACGGACTTCACCTCCAAGAAAAAGAAAGCCTGTATGCACAACAGAACTATTTTAAAGAAAAACAAAAAAAACCTTGCAGATACTTTTCATCCATTTATTTTTGAGGATGGGAAACAGTTTTATTGTATAGAACATATTTACATATCTAGATCTGTACACCAAGCACCAGGGGTTTTTCGGCCCTCCTCTCTTGGAAAAAGGGGCACTGGGATCCGGCCAATGGGACAAAACCAGGACGCACACCCACCCACAAACTGGCAACTTCAACACAAAGAGCTGGGGGAAACAACGGAAAAATTGGATATTTTAGCACGATGCGCATGACAATTTATCTGCTTGATGGCTGCTCTGCTGATTACGTCATTATTAAGAGTCATTTTCACCCCGCTCCTTGCATCGGAGAAATTCCTAAATTGGATATAAGCAAAGCCCCCCGGGACCCGGAGGCCCTAACCCTAACCCTAACCCTAACCCTAACCCGGATCGGACCAGGAGTGGTTGGGGCTGGGACATGTGGTAAAACCTAACTTGCATAACATAATATAACTGGGGCGTATAAGGACTAGTTTTGTACTCTGTGTGTTGGTACTACTTTTTGATAGTGATTAAATCACATGACATTGTATCAATCAATCAATCAATCGATCAATCTCATTGTACCTTCAGTTGAGATCAATGTTCTTTGCTGTTCTACCGTTCGGAGCACTATACCTTATCGAAGTAGTTACCTGCACTGTTTATGCCATCGCCTCCTTTTTGGAATTGTTTTCTTCTTTTTCTTTTGGCTGGGAGGCGTCGACTGATTTCCCACCGGGGGAAAAACCGAAGGATCCCTGGTGAGAAAAGCGGGAACCTCGTG